ACTCACATTCTGTTTTTTCTTTCTTTTTTTTTTCGCAAAAGAGCGTAGTGATAATATATGTTGTATGTGCGATACGACACGTGGGTCGCCTGGGGACAAAGAAGCCTCACCCGCAGAGTTAAAGAGGCACGTGTTGCAACAGCGGCATCCTGTGGTGAAAGAGATGGAAGAAAGAGTGGGTTTGCGTTCATTTGCTTTTACAGTGCTTTCAACGAGCATTAAGAGAAGTCTCCTGGAAGACAAAGCAGGGGAGGTCATCTCACGTGTCAATCCCATCTGTTGTCAGATGTTTTCCACGTGTACTTCGTAAATAATTTCATGCCATCTAATAACAAGAGAAGGTTGGATGTTTTTCCTTTGTTTAAGACAAGTATTATTGGTATTCCATTAAAATTATATTTATGTATTTTTATTATTATTATTGTTCACTTGATGCAATCCCAAGAGCCACTCAATGTAGAGGGTTAGTGGATGATGTTGCTGCAGAAAATAAGAGATATCAAAGGTTGCAGTAAATTATATCGAAAGTTAAGGGATTCAAATAACTTTATGTAGATTCTTAAATCACTTGAGAATGTGGAGACTTACATCTTATTTGAATCATCTCACAGTCGAGACAATCAATTGTCACATATATATCATCATCGTCTTCAGTGCTATGAACGGGTGTCTTCGTGGGGACTTTGAGAACCTAACCAAGTAACAAGCTCTCTACGGAAGTGTTGTGGGATCTTACCCATAATAATAATAATGGACTATTCCATACTTAATAAATACTGCGCCTCAGCAGTAGGCAAGAAGCCAGTCGCTCAAGTCCTGACCGACTGTTCGGTTGAACTCTCTCCCTCCGGGCGGGGAGGAACCCGAACGAGGTTACGCCGAGGGGCGGAGTCTCGTTCGGGGAGGTAAACCGGCTCTGAGCCCGTTTATACGGATTCAATGGGCATATTTTTAGGGCCGAGCTCACGGGCTCGAAGAACCCACGGGCTCGGAGAACCCATAATAAATAACCGACCTTGTGTCACATGTTGCCCCGGGGGTGGGGATGAATATCGTCAGTCGTTCAAGTCTTGACCGGCTGTTCGGTTGAACTCTCTGCCTCCGGGCGGGGAGGAACCCGAACGAGCCTCGCCGAGGGGCGGCGTCTCGTTCGGGGAGGTAAACCGATTATGAGCTCGTTTATACGGGTTCAATGGCCATATTTTTGGGCCGAGCCTATGGGCTCGGAGAACCCACAATAAATAACCGACCTTGTGTCACATGCTGCCCTAGTGGGGGTGTGACTAAATATCGTCAGTCGTTCAAGTCTCGACCGGCTGAACTCTCTGCCTTCGGGCGGGGAGAAACCCGAAGGAGGCTACGCCGAAGGGCGGATTCTCTTTCGGGGAGGTAAACCGACCCTGATACCCGTTTATACGGGTTCAATGGGCATATTTTTTGCCGAGCCCACGGTCTCGGAGAGCCCACGTTAAACCGGCCTTGTTCCACATGATGCCCACGTGGGGGCGGTGACTGAATATCGTCAGTAGTTCAAGTCGAGTCAGTAGTTCAAGTCGAGTCAAGAGTCGAGTCAGAGGCAGTCCGAAACAGAGTCGCGTTCAGACAATTACTGCAAGACATTGGAATAGTGATACTGGTCCAGACTACATTGTTCTCTCTACTAAACCTAATTTTTAATACTAACACTTCTACTTCTCTGTATATATTCCTGTTTGTAATATATCTGTGTTATTCAATATCCGTGTTCGAGTTCTTCTTTATTGGTTCTATCTTGGACCATCACCGTGGTACAAGGAATCCGGACCATAACAGTAAGCATCGATACTGCCTGAGAATAAATCTTCCAGTTCACTCTTTTACAACCTTGTGCAAATTAATTTGAACAACGACTTGAGTTTCCTATCTTTCACCATACGGTCAGTTTTAGACCGACTGGAGTGACAGGGTGTAATCGATTTCTATTTTTCCTCAGATTAGGTCATTTGCAGTGGTGTGCAGTAATATGAATCTATTTTCGGGGTGCATGATGAAATTTGTTTGGCCTTGAAAAATATTGCATCATTTATCACGTCTCGACTGATTAGTTGTCCTACAGCCATTGTCTGCGATGGACGTTACTCCAAGCAGGCGTACAAATATTGTAACGCTGCACGAAGAGAATGGCAAACCTTACCAATGAGCAAATCAAAGTACTATAGACTGGCGTGGAAACTCTTCTGATTTAAATCCAATCGTGAATCTGTGGTCAAATCTTCAAGGAACAATTTCGTGGAATGGACATACGAAGTGCTAATGTATGCAGTGGGTCATGTCTTGTTTGAAAAATTTGAAAGAAGTAAATAATAACGGAATTACTCGTTTTGTTTCAAGTAATTTGCACAAGGGTGTAGTTCAAAAAAGTTAAACAGAAGGTATACCTTTCTTCCTTTTTTTTTTACTAAGGTTAACTCTATACAAATTTTATTACCGGGTGTGGTCGTAGGGTTTTTGCGAAGCTGACCAACTGACCATCTCTCTACATGAACAACAGTAGTGTCTGTAAATGGTCTTCCAGTTTACTCTTACTTTCCCACTCCGTTCTTTTTCTTGTGCCTGAGTTTATACCTTGTAGGATTCTAGCAGAATGATTGTTGGCACTTTCGAGTTGACTATACCATTTGTTGTAGAGTAGTTTTCACAGTGGAGGCTTGTATTTCAATAAGTCGTCCTAAATTAGGTTCCGACGTACAAAACGTTAGGAACTTGAAATAAGAGTTAATGACGCAGCAATCTAGTTGTGATGGTTGATACTTCAATGTCCGACATCGACTGACTCGCACAACACCACTGAGCCCAACTGGCGACCGCTATTACTACTACTACTTATTATGTGTGGGAGTGTCTATTAATAATGTACCTGAGTTTACCGACCCCCCACTGCCGAGGCGGCCCCTATGTTTGCCACCATTCGGCCCCACAAAAAACGCACATTGCGCAGTGAATCACTCGTAATATATATATATATATATATATATATATATATATATATATATATATATATATAAATTTTAAGTTTGCGTACCATTATAATATTACTTTCACATATTCAAATATACTATGCTTTAAATACACACCAAATATACTTCCGTCCTGAGTATGTATTGTGGAGTAGTTTTCACAGTGGAGGCTTGTATCTCAATAAGTCGTCCTAAATTAGGTTCCGACATACAAAACGTTAGGAACTTGAAATAAGAGTTAATGACGCAGCAGTCTAATTGTGATGGTTGATACTTCAATGTCCGACATCGACTGACTCACTCAACACCACTGAGCCCAACTGGCCACTGCTACTGCTACTGCCACTTATCTGTGGGAGAGTCTGTTACAATAGAATAGGTATTATGGTAAAACACCATTGCAAATTTTCTTAGAGATTTTTTTAAAATATGTCTGTTTATTGCTTGAAGGCTACTCGCTCTGCGTCATTTGTGATGTGATACATGTAAGAAATACTTAGGATCTTATTTCTAATCCTTGAATTTTTCACTCGAATTCTGCTGTTAATGTCCAACATTCCCAGGTGGACAGACAGGCCTAACAAAGAGAACGCACACAATCTGATCTTTGATTTCCCGCAGATAATGTCGCCTTTCCAGATAATTCTTAATTTGAAAACAGCTGCCACTGTTTGTGTTTTTCTTGGAGGTTTTCTTCTATTCTGGGTACGTCGTCGTTGATATACAAGATAGTTACGAAAGTCCTTATATATATATATATATATATATATATATATATATATATATATATATATATATGGAAGAGCTTATAGCTGTTCCAACGAGAGTAAAGTGTACATTTAAAAAGAAGATAAACTGCAAACGTTTTTGGTTGAAATGTGGATTTTTATTTTAAAACATATATTATAATCTATTTTTCATAATTCTGCTACACGTGTTTCTGGTTTTGTGACCTTCTTCAAGCAAAGAGTAGTTATTTCTAGATCTTATAAAAATAAATTTTTGTGGTAGTGATTCAAATGTCAAATTTATAAAGATTTATTTATCTATCTATCTATATATATATATATATGAAGAAAAATATATACGGAAAAAAACGAACAAAAATTCTTATATACAATTATGCTGTTTTAATGTTAATATGTCAACGTCGGACGTTTCGGTCTAATAAACCATCTTCAGGACATATTCATAAATTATAACATTATCAATACAACATGACAAAGGCCTGGCTTCTTTAGTATTTCCCCTTTTCTAGCGAGATTAATGCTCGACAAGCGTACATATAAATTTTAGATCAAAATAGAATTCTTTTCATTTTTCATTCAAAATACTTAAATTTTAGGAATACGTTTTCACAGCGTCGCCCACGTGACGACAACGTTACCATGTTTTAAACGGGGCGCTGATCTTATAAAACTTTCAGTTATTCTGTTTGGATAAGTCTTGTTCTTATGTACATCGTCTTTGTCATGTTGTATTGATAATGTTATAATTTATGAATATGTCCTGAAGATGGTTTATTAGACCGAAACGTCCGACGTTGACATATTAACATTAAAACAGCATAATTGTATATAAGGATTTTTGTTTGTTTTTTCCGTATGTATTTTTCTTCATACTGTCAGATCTATATCCATATATTTGCTTATATATATATATATATATATATATATATATATATATATATATATATATATCTTATATCCGGGTTACACTGTATATATATATATATATATATATATACTAGGTTGGCCTAATTTTTCAACTTTATAAAAGTTTAGCTCCTAAACCCTTATCTTGTTCTAATTAACAGAAAACCAATCTATTCAAGATTTTAGCTCAAGCAGACAACTGGACAACTACCCTGATCGACCCTGAAATTTTGACATTTTCACCCGGAAAGTTATTCTTTCTAATGAAATTTTTTTTATCTCTTATATAATTTTCTCTTAAATTAAAAAAAAATTCTCCCGGCTTATTCTTGATATAAGAAAGATAAATGGCAATAAATATAATGGCGAAGGGAACTTACGAAGTTAACGGCAGAAAGAAAGTCATGGGAAAACATCTATTTTTCGCCGCCATCCGTGTTTGTAAATAAAACTTATTTGATTTGTAATAACTTTTCATCATTCGTCCATTTTGTTGTGGCATCGTGATTCCAGCTGTTCTTTTCGTTTACGACAGGCATCCTTTCAGTCATGGTAAAAATAGACGAAAAGACGTGAAGCACTTCAAAACAAATGTGAACCACAGAGCTGTACGTCTTCCCACGATGACACCAGTGTGCTAACTGGTGTCATCGTGGGAAGATGCCTGAGGGTTGCTTCAAGTGGCATCTAGCGGTGGAAGCCTGAACTACTATGAGCTTGTCACACAGAAAACGATTCCGATTACTTTTGGCTCTCCCCTCGTAAAACAATAATTATAACCTCTCGATTTTTATAGTGTCACGTGATTTATATACTTATTTTGTGACAAACATATGATACCTTTGATGATTAATTCCTCGTTTATTTTTTTTTTTCTTTAAGGTCTGTTTGTGCAGGTACGATGTGGCTTATGTGACGTGCTCTTCCTACACCTGTAAAATGGCATCACCCAAGTTAAGAAAAGACTTTCACGTCACTCTTGTTAGCTACATTTCTAATCGAATCGTGCGACGAACGGTTTACAGAAAAATCAGGCTAGAAATAAAGAAGGCAAAAAAAAAAAAAAAGAGAACTTTTTGTGGCAAAGATGGACGGTGATTTTTGACAAATGATTTGAGACAGATGAAATTTGAAGAGGATATTAAGCCTTTAATGCTTCAGCGCCAAAAAGGACGACCGGGTTCCGTGGTTAGTGTAGGGCAAAGATTAAAACACAAGGAAGAAAGAGCACTGAAGCACACTGTAATGGAAACAGTTAGGGGGAAAAAAGAACTCATAAAAATGAAATATAATACTCATAATTTTGCTATATCAGAAACATGATTCAACAGCAAGCTGACAAAGCAGTGGCGGTGGCGACGACAAAGAAAATTCCTCTGTCATCGTTCAGCAAATATCAGCAGTAGCAACAACCTCAGAAGCGGCAGCGTTTCCTGTTTGCAGTTTTTACTCCCCGTCTCGCTGAAGCTATCGATAGTTACAAAATCACTGACAGAAATTGAGTTTAGATATTAATGACTGCTGAGCAAGCTTTCAGACGTGGTACTGAAAACCTGGTAATAAATTGTACTTCTTTTCAACGCCTTAGAAAATTTTTTAAAGAGGCCAGACACACAAAAACACAGCCTAAACCTAAACGACTGTCAAGAATTAGTGTTAAACTGTCATGGAAAGCTGCTCCCAGCACTCATAGGTTTTCAGAAGGTTGATAAGACTGACAATAATAGTAATTTTTCAAGGCAAGGAGCAATTGTTTGGAGTCCCTGAAATTCCAACGACTTCAGGAGAACAGCAAGCCATGTCTGTTTACCAAGCAGTGGAGAAATCGGTTATAACAGAGAAAAAAAACAGACATTTTGCTGTGATACGACAGCAGAGTCGAAGTGACGGGTGATTTCTGTCGTTCGTGATGACGGTCGTCTTTGAGTATAGAATCCATAGTTATGCAGTGAATATTTCGAAGACAGTAGGGAAGCGTTGTTCAGGTTAGCAGTGGATATTTTGGTAACAGTAGCAGAGCGTAGTTCGTCCTTCTGGTTCTCTTCGCCTGACAAGCTGGACTAGACATTCGGATAGAGTGAAGCAAAATGGCCGCCTTTATACACGACGGATTGAATATTCTAAGTCTTCTGATTGGTTAACCTTCTATTGGTGGACTATAAAGTGAGTCTAGTCATTTGGGCTAGCTCACTAGTTACATAATATACACAAAAAAACTGTAACAATTTCCCCTCTACAATTCTTGGTTTTCTTGAATACTACCTGTCTACGTAGAAACAGCGAGTTGGTTAACGAAATTTGAGGGAGTTAACGATCATCTTCCTTGGCGGCATTCTTGGCAAATGGAATATCGTTTCGTACAACAGGAGCTGCAAATCATGCGAGGTGGATGACGAAAGTAATTTATGCATTCAAGATATACCTGTTTCAAAATCAATTTCAGTTATCTCATGGAGAGAAGAACTATTTAAGAAGTATATGTATCTTTCCTGCTGGAGTGTACGTTCGAGCCTGGTTTTTGTCCTCAGAAGCAAATAAAGCCACACATCATGATTTCCTATTCCTTGATCCAGTATTACAGGTTTAATCATAGTGTCCGGTTCACAATGTCGATTCGTTTCCATTTTCCAGCCTCGTTGTGATTTTTTTTTTTTTTTTTTTTTTTTTGATCCTGGATAGCAATTAACAAATCTTAGATCCCGGAAGATTCAGCTGGTCTACCTGCAAGATCATTTGGGCGAGAATCAAGCCAAGCGGAAAAAAATATGAACAAGTCGATTCGAGTCCAAAGATTAATTTATGTATATAGGAAGAAATTGGTACAAAAAGAATAATGCTTCTTTTACAAGTAGTGTATATAAAATAAAGTCCAGAAAAAAAAAAAACAAATATTGCAAATACTTCCGCAGGAAGAGATGTTAATTTTCAGGTTCACTCTTTTTGTTCTTAGTAGTTGCCGTAATTATTTCATTGTCGGAATATAAGGGGGTTCACTGGCAGTATTGCGCCAATATTGCAGATAACTTGAGTTCACTTCCTCTCTTATTACAACAGCAAGGGGACGCTTTCCTCTCACTGCCTATCTCTCTTGCTCTGGTCGTCTGCTTGTCAACCTACTTCACCCAACTCCATTTCCAACTTCAACTGCAACTTCGAATTCCAGTTTGTTTTCGCACAAACACCCGCTTAAATAAACGCGGGGTAGCGACAAAAACCGCGGTTGTTGGTTAACATAAAATACAACCTAATTACTGACCTCTCCCTCTTAATGATTAAATGAAAAGTCTGTTCTTCTCAATTGGTATTCCATATTTCGTATAAACACTATTTTTTCGATATTTTATATTAATAATTCTGACGAAGCACAGATTCTCTTGCACAAAATTCACCACAGATTATCAATAAACAAAATTCTATATTACCGTAATTATGAATATTTCAAACGTGACCATTGCTCTCTGCCATTTCCATGCGTCAACTAATAAATCATCAGGATATCGATCCAGAAATCAGTAAGACTGGTGCGGAAGGGTTTTCTAAACATCTCTGGTACTTAGCACCCGTAACTAATAATAGATAGATAGATAGATAGATAGATAGATAGGATTCGAATAGATAGACATACAGACAGATATGATAAGCCTTATATATATATATATATATATATATATATAATTACAGATAACTAGACTGTTTTCGAAAAACCCTCGAATTTTTGACTTGCCAATAATCAAATCAATCTCGAGGTAAAAAAAAGGTTTAAAAAGAAAGAGCTACAAACATGAACTTCTGCCGACAAAAAATCGCACAGATGAAGGTTTGAAGCCCAAAGAAAAAACCCTGATACGAGTAAACAACTAACAAAAGAGCTCAATACAACCGTAGAGCAGACCTAGGTATATATATATATATATATATATATATATATATATATATATATATATATATATATATATGTGTGTGTGTGTGTGTGTGTGTGTGTGTATAGTGCGATGAATAAATTGTCGTTTAAATTAACAGATATAAATTTATCTGTTTGTTAACCAGAATTACACAAAAAATATCGTGAAATACTAAAGAGTAAAGTTATACAATAAAATCGCAATTGGCTTCAACCTCGGCCTTCAGACGGCATCGGAATCTCCTGCAACTCCTCTAGACGGTCTCCTTGTTTAAGTTGGTGAATGCTGCCATAATCCTTGTCTTCAGCTGATCTTTGCTGTTACAAAGAATTTTGTTGTAATGGGTGATGCTGTCGCAGAAATTGTCTGGCAGGCATGTCTGGGTTCCCCTGCTTGTGTGGCACGGTGCAAATTCCTGTTGCCAGATATACGTCTTCCAGCAACCACCGTCGTGATCCAGAAATCTCCTAAATGCATTTCATGTGAGCTTCCATCTTGTATCTGAGGTCCTGTGGGAAGATCAATGGAAGCATAACGTCCAAACACCATGATGTTGACTGGATATCTTATGCAACTCTTTCAAAATCCTCTGCCCTGTCCTTAGATTGACACAAATGTTCGTATTGGAGCTTTCGAGCAGCACAACATGCCCTTTTCATGTTTATGGCGGAGTGAATTGCATCATGGTGCTCTTTTTCTCACAGATGATGCCCAACGGGCTCTACTATACTGTGTAGTCAACAAAATCGAAAACAAACAACGCGCATGCGCGAAATGAAAGATATAAAATTGCGACAATTTACCCATCGTACCGTGGGTACATACACACGCAGACACACACACACATATAAATATATATATATATATATTATTATTATTATTATTATTTCATTCGTAGACAGTACAGTTTCGCAGTATCAGAGCTCCTCAGTGTGACTAGACAACCGAATGCCTTACGCCTGGATCGAAACTCAACCCAGTCAGAGCTTCTACCACTGAACCATCTTCACTCGACAGAACGAATCAGCCAGATCCTAGTGTATTGCTTTTACAAACGTGAACAAACGCCAAGCAGCCATATTGCTCCATTCATTTTACTGAAGAGCTTCGCATTTAGGCAGTTGACCGTTGTTTTTAGAATTAGCTTGTCCTTCAACAGTGCTCAATTGAAAATAGAGAGAGAGTGAGAGAGAGAGAGAGTGAGTGAGAGAGAGAGAGAGAGAGAGAGAGAGATGAACGGCATCAAATTGATAGATAGCGTTGTTACCTAGAAAGGATTTGTAAATGAAGAATAGACAAAATGGAGTTTGGAAATGAAATGGTAATCTTTATAACATCAACAAATTACAATATTCACCACCGGCGTGAAACAGGTACACCACTGCTAGTGGTGGACTACTTAGACAGCATATTACCCCCCCACGCACACACCTACAATAGTATCCAACGTATTTATGAGGATTTGGACATACATATTAATGTTCATTGGTACAGTATATCACAGAGAGAGAGAACAAAAGAGTAGAGAGAGAGTGAGAGAGAAATAAAGAGTAGAGAGAGAGTGAGAGAGAACAAAAGAGTAGAGAGAGAGTGAGAGAGAAATAAAGAGTAGAGAGAGAGTGAGAGAGAACAAAAGAGTAGAGAGAGAGTGAGAGAGAAATAAAGAGTAGAGAGAGAGTGAGAGAGAAATAAAGAGTAGAGAGAGAGTGAGAGAGAACAAAAGAGTAGAGAGAGAGTGA